GAATCAAGAAGATACATTTTCATCTATTATAGACATAAGATTAGGTGTTGTTCCTTTTCTTTGTTCTGCAGAAGACTTTGGCCGTTTAGCAGTTGAATCAGAGAATAGTTGGTATAATTTTGCTCCTTTTTTATCTATTGATGATTCTTTATTAAATAATTCATTAAAAAAAGATATAAGAGACCGTTGTATACATAGACAGCATCAGCAAAAGTTGCTGCTGCCTTCTTCTGTACAGGTTCTGCATAGTACAATAGGAAATACCTCTTCTTCCTCATCCTCTTCTTCTTCCTCTTTTCTCCCCTCTAAATTACCTTTAAAGGGGCAACAACATTCTTCTTTTTCTTCTCTTTTTCTCCCTTGTTGTAGAGAAGAAAAGGACCACTGGTCTGGTCCATTCAATAAGTACAAGTTGTATACATATACACTTGATGACGATATACCCATGCAGCAGCAGCAGCAGCAGCCTATAATTCCTCTCTTACCTCCTCCTTGCTGCTCTCCTTTCCTTCAATATAAAAATGCATGCAAAAATGCATGCATAAATGCATGCAAATATGCATGCATAGATGCATGCAAAAATGCATGCAAAAATGCATGCAAAGCACGTGTCTTATGGTGGAGGAGGGAAAGAAAGTCTTTATTAAATAAGGTTAGTATTAATTAATTATTTATAATTAATTATAATTAATTATAATTAAATAAAAAGAAATATTTAATTATAATTTATTATATTATTATTTATAATTATCATTTTGCTGCTGCAGTTGCACGCATGCAGAGAGGAGAAGCCATTGCTGCAGTGCATGCAGCAGCTGCATGCAGATGCATGCATTTCAGTTCCTTATTTACCAGTTTTATTACGTCCTCAGCAGCAGCAGCAGCAGCAGCGGGAGTATTTATTGCTGCAGCAGCAGCAATTGCAGCAACAGCAACAAGAGCTGCTGCTGCTGCAGAGCAGCAGCAACGCATGCATGCAGGGCCCTCCTGTCTATAAACTATTTATGCATTGTAGGAGGAAATCAAGAAAAATAATAAAAACAGCAGAAAAGGAATATTTTTTTCCTCGCATGCATGCAGCAGCAGCTGCTGCTGCTGCTGCTGTTGCTGTTGCTGCTGCTGGTTGCTGCAGCAGCTCTCCTTGCATGCATCTTGATAACTGTAAGTTATATTAAAATAAATAATAATATCTTAATTGTAATTATAATGAATGCAACAATACCTGCTGCTGCTGCTGCTGCTGCTGCTGCTGCTGCTGCTGCAGATTTCCCGTTGCATGCAGACATCCAAGGAAGGAGGTGCAGCGCAGCAAAAAACGTTAGCAAACTTATAGAGGAAGAAATACACAAAAAAAGAGAAAAAAAAGATAAAAAGGAATTAAATAAAAAAGAAATACATAACAAGAATAAAAAAAGAACAGTAAGAAGAAAAAAAAAAAAAAAAAAAAAAAAAAAA